TATGGTTTGGCTTTGTCCTCACCCAAATCTCCTCTTGAATTGTAGCTCCTATAATTCTCATGCTTTTAAGAGGGACCCTGTGGGAGATAATTGAATCATGGGGGAAGTTTTCCCCATATTCTTACATATTCTCACAAGGTATGATGGTTTTATAAGGGATTTCCCTTGTCACTTGGCTTTCATTTTCTCTCTTGTCTGCCACCACGTAAGATATGTCTTTTGTCTTCTGCCATGATTGTGAGTCCTCTTCAGCCACGTGAAACTGTGAATTCATGAAACTTCTTTTTCTTATAAATTACCCACTCTTGAGAATGCCTTTATCAGCAGTGACTAATGCAGTAAATTGGTACCAGAAGAAAGGGACACTTCTGTAAAAATACCTGAAAATGTGGAAGCAACTTTGGAACTGAATAACTGGCAGAAATTGAAACAGTTTGGAGGGCTCAGAAGAAGACAGAAAAATGTGGAAAAGTTTGGAATCTCCTAGAGACTTGTTGAATGATTTTGACTAAAATGCTGATAACGGCATGGACAATGGAATCCAGGCAGAGGTGGTCTCAAATGGAGTTGGGGAACTTGTTGCAAGCTGGATTAAAGATGACTCTAAAATGCCACAAGGTGAGTGGTAGCATTTTGCCCCTGCTCTAGAGATTTGTGGAACCTTGTTCTTGAGGGAGATGATTTACAGTATCTGGAAGAAGAAATTTCTAAGCAGCAAAGCATTCAAGATGTGACTTAGGTGCTGTTAAAAGCATTAAGTTTTAAAAGGAAAACAGCATAAAAGTTCAGAAACTTTGCAGCCTGTTGATGTGATAAAAAAGAAAAACCCATTTGCTGAGAAGAAGTTCAAGCTGGCTGCAGAAATTTGCATAAATAACAAGGAGCCAAATGTTAATTGCCAGAACAATGGGAAAAATGTCTCCAGGGCATGTCAGAGACCTTTACAGCAGCCTCTCCCATGACAGGCCTAGGAGGAAAAAATGGTTTAATAGGCTGTGTGAAGCCTAGGGACTTGGTGCTCTGCATCCAAGCTGCTGTAGCCATGGTTGAAAGGGGTCAAGGTACAGCTCGGAACATGGCTTCAGAGTGCAAGCCCCAAGCCTTGTAGTTTCCACATGGTGTTAAACCTGTGGAGTCACAGAAGTCAAGGATTGAGGTTTGGAAACGTCTACATAGATTTCAAAGGATGTATGAAAATGCCAAGATGCCCAGGCAGAAGTTTGCTGCAGGGGCGAGGTCCTCATGGAGAACCTCTGCTAGGGCACTGCAGAAGGGAAATGTGGGGGTGAAGCACCTTTATAGAACCTCACTGGGGCACTGCCTAGTGGAGCTGTGAGGAAAGGGCCATCAAATGGTAGATCCACCAAGAAACAGCTTGCAACCTGAGCCTGGAGAAACTATAGTCACTCAATACCAGCCTGCGAGTGGTGGCAATGAGGTTCTACTCTGCAAAGCCACAGGGCAGAGCTGCCCAAGACTATGAAAAAACACTTCTTGCATCAGTGTGACCTGGATGTGAGACATGGAGTTAAAGGATATAATTTTAGAGCTTTAAGATTAGAGTGCTCCACTGGATTCTGGACTTGCATGGGGCTTTTGGACACTTTGTTTTGGCCAATTTTTCCCATTTGGAATGGGTGTATCTATCCAATGCCTGTACTCCCATTGTATCTAGGAAGCAAATAACTTGTTTTTGATGTTATAGGCTTATAGGTGGAAAGAGCCTGCCTTGTCTCAGATCACACTTTGAACTGTGTACTTTTGAGTTAATTCTGAATGAGCTAAGACTTTACAGAACAGTTGGGAAGGCATGATTGAGTTTAAAATGGGAGAACATGAGATTTGGGAGGGAACACAAGCAGAATGATATGATTTGGCTTTGTCCTCACCCAAATCTCATCTTGAACTGTTGCTCCCATAATTCCTATGTGTTGTGGGAGGGACCCAGTAAGAGATAATTTAATCTTGGGGGTGGTTTCCCTCATACTGTTCTCATGGTAGTGAATAAGTCTCAAGAGATCTGATAGTTCTATAAGGGGTTTCCCTTTTTGCTTACCTTTCATTTTTCTTCTTCCCTGCCACCATGTACAGCATGCCTTTTGCTTTCCACCATGATTGTGAGGCCTCCATAGCCACGTGGAACTGTGAGTTCATTAAACCTCTTTTTCTTATAAATTACCAGTCTTGGGTATGTCATTATTAGCAGCATGAAAATGAACTAGTATACTAAATCATTCCAAAAGACCTAAAGCCTGGGCAGCCAGGGTAGTGTGTTGCATGAACCATGTTAACATGGTGGAATGACAGCAGGGTCTTAGAAATGAAGAGAGATAGTATTTACTGTCCCCCAGAGCAAGGTGCATTCTGTCAGTGAGTTTGGATTCAAGATGCTTCAGCTGCTTAAGTTGCAGGGGTGGAAGGTGTAAGTTGCAGATGAGGGGCTTCTTCTCTGAGGCCATGTCACCCTATGAACTCACAAACGCTTGACTACTCTCCAAACTAGATTTAGGACTTATAAGGACTAAAGACTCTTTTATGGCAGGGACAGCTGGTATTGGCAACTGTGGTGGCAGTGGAGTTGCCCAGCATTCTCCAAGTTATCTTTTCTCTATACAAATATGTCCTGGATACAGGGAAAGATGGCCAAGTAGACACAGCCAGATGGAACAGCTCCTACCAAAGGACCAAAATGACTGGCACACTCCTAATGGATCTTCAGAGGGAAGGCACTGAGAGTGAACACTGGGAAGGGGAGCAAGCTGGGAACCCTGCAACATACCAGGATTCTTTCATGACACCCAGTAACTCTGAGGTAATGGGCAAGTTGAAATGGTAAGGGGCAATCTGCTCTGGCCAAGGGCCTACGATACTGGCAGTAGGACACCCCTCGACCACCACACTCAAGACGATAGGGAGAGCTGCTTAGTGAAGTGGTAGGGGTAGCACGCCAGCTGATGTGAAGCCCAGAGTGTTTGGTGTGACAGCATTTTTAGTGAAGTCTGGCCAGGGATGTTCATCTTACTAGGTGTGACTTGCTCCCATAGGAGACTTTACCCCTAGAAGAAACGTTGGACCTGAAATCTACAGGAAAGTATTGTGCATCAGACTGGGCCAGTCTGACCTGAGCACCCCTCAGTATACTGGCCTGTCCCAAGGTCCTAGCCTAGCTGTGATTGCCTGCAGGGCAGCCTTGGGTGCCTTGGGGGTCCACATTGTAGCCCCTGCACTGGTGAACCCTACCTGACTAATGGAGAGGTCCAGCAGGGTGGCCATGCACCCATCCCCCAACTCTCTCCCCTTACTTACTACAGCCTAGCCCATGGACACTCTCTACATTGCTTTGCTGGTGTGTATGTGCTGGTGCATGTGTGTGGTATAGCCTTTCCTTTGGTGATGGTGGTGTGTGTTATAGCCTTCCCTGCCCCACCAGTGGTCATGTGTGCAAACACCCTACCCTACCACTGCTGTGGTGGAGATACACTCTACCCCTATTTCCCCTGCCCTATCACCACTGCAGTCAGAGCCTTAGCGCACACAGAGCTAGCCAGCCAGGCACCCACCAGCATCCTGTCCTTGCACCAACACTGCCACCAGAGTGAAACTAGGCACAGAGAACAGTGGATCCTCTTCACCCTGAGTGAACACCTTTGCCTGTGGCACACAGCCCTGTACATGCCAGCACTACACTGCCATGCTAACATCAGCACAAGGATAACCACTTGCACAGTTGCCAGAAGGGCCCCTCACTACCACCTAAGCCATGCTGCCTACACCACTGTGGTGAACATCCACACACCCCACCAATCACTAGCACCCTGCCACAGTTGATGAGCATGTACTCTGCTGCACTGGCACTGCTGCTACTGGTGATATATGCCAATGAAGATGGATCACACTGTCACAGAACTACAAAACATTTTGGCTAACATCACCCATCAGGATTCCAGGAGCACCTTACCCACTTCCCCACCAGCACAGTGGATTCCTCAAGGAGCCAGATAATAAAATTAAGCTCCTGATACAAGTCTTCCAGAGTTAGAGCACACAGTCTGGAGTTGGTAGCTGAGTGTAGGCATCATAAACTCTTCCAGAAATGAAGCCAGTTGGCTGAACCCTTGTTATACTACAATGAAATACTCAAGGTCATCAGGTAGAACAAAAGAAAAAAAATCCAAAGGTCAGCAACTTTAAAGATTGAAAAAATACCAGCTCACAAACATGAGAAAGAAGCAGCACAAGAACTCTGCAGAAAGGGTTCTAGACTGAAATGACAAAAATAAAATTCTGAAAATTGATAGGGATGAAGATAATTGAGATTAAGGAGTATGTTGAAACCCAATCCAAGGAAGCTAAGAATCATCATAAAATGATACAGGAGCTGACAGACAATATAGTCACTATAGAAAAGAATGTAAAAAACCTGATAAAGCTGAAAAACACACTATAAGAATTTCATAATACACTCACAAATATTAATAGCAGAATAGACCAAATTACAGTCTTTTAGTTGGAGCACCTAATGTATTTTCAGAGCTGGGGACTTTATTTCCTCAGGTTAAATAGTATCAGTCAAGTATTACAGAAATCATACAAAGAGCCTAGATCTAGGGTGGTGGCTTGCATGCTTTTACTTTGGGGGTGCCAATTCTGCTGCCAGGGTTGCTTCTACCTTACTATGCATCTGTTCAACACTGTCATCACAGTTAGGATTCCCTGTGACTCTGCTGTGGGCATGAGGAATTCATGCAGGGCCTGCGAGGTAGACATCTTTTTCTTAAAAGCAATCCTGAGTGGTTATAGTTTATTCATATCAGTGGGCTAGTGTCTGTGTCCTCAGTGAGGAATTCCAAATTAGAAGATTAGAAAAGCTGGTCCATAGCTACTCTTTGAGAAACTTTCACCTTGTTCTCATTGGGGCCATGGGTCAGGGATATTTAATAGTTATATATTTTTCTTTTCTTGTTTTTTTTTTTTTTTTTTTTTTTTTTTTCTTGATTCAGTCTCTTTAGAGACTGCCAAAAATTGCCAACACCGACTATATTTCAAGTCGTCATGGAGGGATATCAGGAAGTTTTCAATCAGCAATAATCGCACCTCAGATAAACCTCATTGGCTACGATACTGCCCCTGTGCGAAGCTAGATATTTTTCTTTTTTAAAAGCTTTTAAATCTGTATTGTCTTTTATTACATTAATTATTCTATTTTTCATTATGTTATTTTCTGATGGCTGGGTGGAAAGTTTCAAAACCAATGAAGATTGCCCCTCCCACTCCACTATCCTCTCACCTTAGGTTCTTTACACCGGTAGCAATTCCAGAACGCTGCCTGCCTTCGCAAACAAGGGTTAAAGATAGGAATTGCTCATTCCATGTATGTTTAAGCAAGTTATCAACATCATTTTAACTTTCAAACTTTTTACCTTTCAAACCCAAAGTGAGTTTAATAACAAAATGGTTGGATTCACAGGTTTCCGAAGGATTGCAACAGAAATACTTCTTCCTTCAAGTTCGGTTGTGCCATCTCTAGAGTAGCAGAATCCTTGAAGGTTCCCTGTAAAACTCAGATTTAGAGTCATTTGTTGCACTGATATCTAGAGTTATTTCACCACTATCTTATTTTTTCTTCTTGTTCTCAAAAGCAGTTTGCCCCTTGCTCCCTCCCTTGTTAGGTTCTCTCACTGGAAAACCATCAGACATCTTTTTGCTGCCTATATATTTTTCTTTTTATCTATATCTATCTGTATGTATACATATTTAGAAAAATACATATATTTATCTTTTTGGCATTCTGAGAAGTTTGGCATGTTCTATGTATGAATGTCTTCTCAGTATAGAAGTTCATATATAAATATCATGACCAAGCATAACAGGCTCCCAGAGAACCTGGCAGCATTCAGACACTTGGGGCTACAAAGATACTCTCATAACAAATATCTAACTCCAAAACTTTTCCATTACTATAAAGTAAAATCTCTTATCCATTAAGCAGTCAATCCCCATTCCCCTGGCAGCCTCTGGTAGAGATTTCTAGCTCTATAAATTTGCTTATCCTAGTCTTTTATATGGGTAGAATTACATAATATTTGTTTTTTTATACCTGGCTTATTTCACTTATATAATGTTGTGGGGGATCATCCATGTATCAGCACTTCGTTACTTCTTATAGGTGAAGAATACATACAATATTCCATTGTATATATGTAATGCAATTTATCTGTTCATCCATTAATGGACATTTAGGCTATTTTCACTTTTTGACTATTATTAATAGTGCTCTTATAAATATATGTATTCAAAAAACAGGTACTGAAGTCCATGCATACACATGTTCATAGCAGTACTATACATAATAATCAAAAGATGGAAACAATGTCTTCAGATTTCTTATGCTTGGAATTTGTTCAGCATCTTGGACTTCTGGATTTATAGTTTTCATCAAATTTAAGAAATGTAAATGCTATTTTTTTCTTGCTTCTCCCCTCCTTAAGGGAATCCAGTTACAGGTGTATTTGGCTGTTTGGAATTACCTTACAGTTCACTATTTTTTAACTCCTTTTTCTCTCTATTTCATTTCAAATAATTGCTATTGTTGTGTCTTCAACATTATGAATGTTATTTTCTTTATTGTCTAGTTTGCCATTAATCTCAAACAATAAATTTTTTAAACCAAAGACACTATAGTTTTCATTGCTAAAGTTTCAATTTATATTTTTTTATAAATTGTGTTTCTATTTAGTGTTTGAAATAACGTTTTAATATTCTTGTCCTCTAATTCTAATATCTGTGTCAGTTTTAGTTCAGTTTGTGCTGATTGATTTCTGACATTCTTATGGATTACATCTTTCCTTCTTTGCAAACCTGATAATCATTGATTGGATGCCAGACATTACAAATTTTGACTCAATAGGGATGGATATCTTTGTATCTCTAGAAATATACTCTTGAATTCTGTTAAGTTACTTGGAAATAGCTTGAATTTGGGGGTCTTGCTTTTATGTTTTGTTAGGTGAGAGCATTAAAAACAGTTAATTTAGGTCTAATTATTTGTCATTACTGAAGCAAAGCTCTTCCAAATGTTCTACTCAATGCCATGATTCATGAGAAGGTCATTTAGCTGATGCCAACAGGTACTGTTCAATTGAATCTTATGATTCTTTACCAAACTCAGGTAGTTTTCTTACATACATGTAAGAATTAGTACTCTGCTAAATATGGAAGTCAGATGCTCCACACTCTTCTCTTTGTAGCTTTCTCCTCTCTGTAACTCTGTTGTGAAACCTCTAGTAGCTTGATTCTTCCAGATTCTCAGTGGAGGGAATCTACTGGTGCTGCTTTAGTTCCTGTGGTCTTCACTGCAGGCTAGAAACTCTGCTAAGGCAGTTAATGGGGGCAATCATAGGGTTTGCCGTATTCATTAACCATCTCTCAGGAATAACTATCCTTAGTTGCCTGATATATATTGCTTTAAAAACTGTTGTTTTCTATATATACCTGGTAAGTTTTTTGTTGTTTGTTTTCAGGTAAGAGATTAAATCGTGTATTTGTCACTTTATCTTGGTTAGAATTGGATGTCCTTTCTCACCATTTAGTTACTGATAATTGTCTTTTGATTCTCTGAACTATTCTAGTTTCCTACCAAGATGTCTCCTTTTTGTTGAAACTGGCTTGATTTAGGTTTTTCCAATTTATATCTAAAAAGATCATGAGTAATAAACATGCAATAATCTAATAACACATTTGAATTTATAAAGCAGATTGACAACATTAGAATCCATTTAATATTATCAAAAATTAACAGTGAAAAATCTTATTTTCTCCAACTTTTTGGTGGTAGGCCCAATTATGTATGGTTTAAGTCCTGATGAAAGGAAGAAAAATTATATTCTTCTTCCATCTAAATGAGATGCCATAAATCCACAGAAATCAGAGAAGATTTTCCCTTGGGTACTGTGTTCTAATGACAAAATCCTTTGCTGTTTCTAGCAAATATTACTATAACATAAATGCTTCATAAAAGGCAGACGTAACATGAGATGCAGGTTTGCGTCAGGCTTCAGACAGTTTTAATATGACTACTGCCCACCTGCGTAAACCCTTAAGACTTTTCAGACTTGAAAATAAAACTTTGCTGTGTTATAGATAGTAGTTCAAAAATATCTTAATATGAAATAATTGTAGGTCCCATTTATTCTTTCTTATCTGTACATAAATCATCAACTTCTTTGGGAAGTGTTTTGCGATGTAAATGCTATAACCTTTTCTGGCCTATTTGACATTGCTGTTTGAGAAACCATAACTCCAACCTCATGCAGTAAAGCATTAGTAACCTAACAGATTGACAGGACTGGGACCAAATGCACAGAAATATTTGAGATGTAGGAGACTATTTAGGTAGGTTTTGTCATGCTTGACATCTTCTTAACATATGTCACTATTTATTTTTCTATAATGATGTTGTCATAAAGCTATGTGTTACTAGAAAATTTTCCTTGGTAGTTTAAGCATAAGAATAAATGTGAATTTTACTACCTTGTCTTCTCATAGAATGTTTCTGCCACCTGGCTTTTAAAGGGTAAACTAGAAGGTAAGATTGTATTTTAAAAATTACCAACAGTGACGTAGATCATGGCTGAAGACAATGTTCAGAGTTCACTGAAATGTTTTTTATATCTAAAATTGGAACTTGGTCTATAGAATAGAGAAATCTCTCGGAAATTTCTAGAGAACAAGAAAAGAAAAAAAATGGGAGAAGTAACATGAAACCAAAAATATATTCATGGAATCAAACTAATTCCTATTAATAGTAACATTTGTTTAATTAAATTGAATAATAAAAATGCAATACCCAAAAAAGAAAATGACCATACACACCTGCCTAATAAATAATTATTTATTCTCTCAAAGATAACACACTTAACAAATTTGAGTTTGACATGAATTTGAAAGAAATTGCAAACTTGTTAGAGGACAGAATTTGGGGTCAAAAAGATCTTAACAGGCTAGAACACTGAGCCTAATTTTACCATTGCACCAGATACAACTTAAGTGACAAGATGCAAGGCTTTTTACTGACATTTAAAGTAGGAGAAGCATGTGTGTATTTGTGTATCTGTATATATGTGTGTGATACACATACATATGGAGTGACAATGTGATCAAGTGTCAAGTACTACTATATGAGGCAATTTATATGCATTATCCCATTTCATACTTATGAATACTTATGAAAGTATAATATACTTATGAAAGTATAATTACTCCTATTAACTGAATATCTTATGAAAATATAATTACTCCTATTAACTCAGTTCTACCAATGCAGACACTGAACTTCATAGTGGTAAGTGACAGAGTCAAGATATGAACCTGATCCTGGGTTCACCTGATTATAAAGACTAAGCTCTTATTCATATTCTATTTGCTTTCCTGTAGCTAAATATGAGCCACGTTTTACATGATTGCTCAAGAAACCCAAATTAAATGAATGACAGTGAAACATCTAGTAGTGGAGAGGCAAATGTTTTCTTTTTGACATAAAACAAACAAAATCAGAGAAACAACAAAGCTATCAGGCATTTTTCTGCTCTGTAAGCTGTTGTTCAGGTTGCCTCATACAAACATAGATGTGAGTTAAAGAAGGTCATGGTTAAACACTGGTGGACAATACATGGGTCTGGACTCTGCTCATGCAGCTTACTTATGCGCTCTGTTCATGCTATATATTTTTTGTTGCTAAATACCACAGACTGTGTGGCTTAAACAATGGAATTTTATTTCCTTGCAGTTCAAGTCCAATGATCAAATTGTCAGCAGAATTTGTTTCTGCTGAGGTTCTCTCTCCTTGGCTTGGCTTTGAGATGATACCTTCTAGACACTGTCACATGGTCTTTTCACTCTGTGTTTCTGTATCATATCTCCTTTTGGCAAGACACCAGTCATATTGGTTTAGGGACCATGCAGAAGACCTCATTTTGTCCTGATTATCTCTTTAAAGGTCCTATATCTAAATCTAGTCATATTCTGAGGTATTGGGGTTAGGACCTTAACATATGATTTTTGAGGGAACACAATTTACCTCCTAGCATATGCTAATGATTGACATGGTGTACCACATCATCCCATTTCTGATAGAGGACAAA